TGGGCTGAACAAGCACATGCGTATCAAGTGGCACTGGTTGCGTAAGGAGGTGAAGAGGGGGACGGTGAATCCGATCTACACCAAGACTCACCAGCAGCCAGCAGACTTCCTCACCAAGAGGCTTGCGGATGAGCCTCATTGGCGTTGTGTGCGGATGAGTGGAATGAGCATGAACTAGTATGGAATGATGGGGATGCAGCCGGCAGGCTGAGGGGGAGTGTGTTGGATTCACATTGCACGACATCCTGCCGTCTGTTTGTACGAGTATGCGTGTGCGAATGCATTTGGGTGTGAATGGAATGTTCGTGTGTTTGTTTGCTTTCGCAATTTTCGCTTGAAGCATTTGCAGGTACTCGCGCATTGTGCGCTTTGGCACAACATTGTACGCGCTATGAACAGTACAAGCTGAAAGGACTAGCTCGCAAAGGAACCCAAGATGGAAGCTTTGCGGTTCGGTTGAATTGATTGTGCAGATTCAGTTCTATCCAACTCGAAATTGTACTGTTTTGTTTGGTTGACTATAGTGTAGCAGGGCAGGCACTATAGGGGTACAATTTAGGTGAAGGTTGGATGTTGTTTGTCCGTACCTGCTTGCTACAGGGCCAGGGGAAACCAGTGGAACCAGCATTTGGCTGGTTGGGCAAAGACAAATCAGGTTCTGTTTTTTAGGACCTGAACCTGGTTGTTGTTTTCCCAGGTTGGAAAAACAGAACCAGAGGTTGTTTACCAACCTACCACCTGCTGTTTTGTCCAGCCAGGTTGGTTCTGTTGCTTGGAATTATTTGGGATCATCCCTAGTTGTTCCCAGGTTTATTCCCAAGGTCCTTGCTAGCTAGAACTATATATTCCTTCTCTGTTTGTACCTGAATATAGTCAATTTGATTCAAGCGAATTCTTCCCTTCCTGGAATTTCGTTTCTACGCGGTGCGACGGCAGAATGCTACCCGAGTCAACGCTAGTACGCTAGCACTCCAACACTAGGCAAACGCTGTCCGAGCCATAACTTCGTAATGGCAGAACTTTTCGCGAGACAACTTGGCTTATTTTAAAGCTCTTGGAGTAAGCTTCGATATAGGAAATTCTCAGCTTAATCCGGTCGACGGTCTGCACGATACGCTGCGCGACGTTCAAGGTACTCTTGTTATTTTGACTAAGTCATTCTTGATCCCTCTCTCTACAAACTCGGACCCGAGGATAGGGGCTGGTCTTGTACCAGGCACCCAAGGACCCTTGGAGGTGACCCCGAGGAGAGGTTTTAAGTTTGATAAAGTCTTAATAGCTTGAGTTTGTTAGGCCCTTACACCAACAATGTCATCTACGTACACCACCATGAAGCTCCTCTGCTCCCCCTTGCCAAGCATGAACAAGGAGTGATCGGCCGTTGAGGAAGTGAAGCCGATCTCCTCCAACACTTTGTGCAGCTTCATGTACCATTGCCTAGGGGCCTGGTTCAGCCCATAGAGGGCCTTCTTCAGCTTCCACACTTTGTCACTACCATCGTCAAACCCCTCTGGCTGCGCCATGAAGATCTCTTTCTCTAGAACGCCGTTGAGGAATGCCGTTACAATGTCTATCTGCTTCACCACCCATCCTTTGATGGCGGCTCCCGCGAGTAGGGTCCGCAGCGTCGTTGGCTTCACCACAGGAGCAAACAGCTCCTTGAAGTCCACCTTCTCCTTTTGCTGGTACCCCTTGGCTACAAGCCTAGACTTGTAGCGCTCGATCTTGCCGTCGGCGTCCGATTTGATCTTGAAGAGCCACTTGGACGCAATCGCCTTACGCCCATCCGGTAGCTCCACCAACTCCCACGTGTCGTTCTCCTCAATACTCTTCAGCTCGCTCTCCATGGCCTTCTTCCACTCCTCAGCATCACTACTCTCCAAGGCCTCTTTGAGAGTTGTTGGCTCCCCCGGCATCTCCACCGGAGAGAACACGAAGGCACACTCCTCGTAGTCGCTTTCCTCGTCATCTCCGACCATCATTGCCGCTCCGGCCAGGGCTGACTTGCCTTGCTTTCCCGATGCATCATAGGTCAGCCTATTAGAGGCTTGAAATCTCCTCTTGCCCCTTCCTTCCTCCTCAGCTGCAGGGAATTGAAGGCCTTGGCGTTGCTGCGGGGTGACTCGGATCCGTGGAGCACTTGTAGCTCATCTTCCTCCTCTTCTTCCTCTACATCCTTGGCCTCATCTTCCCCATTCACAAGGGAAGATTGCCTTGTGGTAATGCTGCCACTGCTCAGCTCCACGTGCTCCAGGCCGGAACTCTTCACCTCCCCAAACCGCATGCCTATCTTTGCCTTGATCTCCGCCTTCCAGTTCGTGTACATCAGGTTCTCCATGAACTTGCAATCCCTGCTCACCATGAACTTCTTGGTGAATGGGTCCCAAAGAAACCACTCCTTGTTGTTTTGAGCCATGCCCAAGTGCACGGCCCATATCGCCTTGGCACCAAGCTTGTTGTGCCAAAGATGCTTAGGTACGAGCGCCATGCACAAGCACCCGAACACCCGAAGCATATCCACCTTTGGCTTCCTTCCAATCCACTCCACATAGGGCACCCATTTGTCTACCCCCACATGAGTCAAAGCTCTGCTCTTGGCCACACGCGCACTCCCCACCGCATCAGGCCAGAAATAGTCGGGTAGCCCGGCTTCTATGAGCAACCCGCGTGAAGTCTCCGTGATTGTGCGGTTCGCTTGCTCGGCGATACCGTTCATTGCAGGGGAGTATGGCATGGTAAGGGAGTGCCTTATCCCAATCTTCTTCAGCCATAATCCAAACTCCTTGCTCATGAACTCTCCCCCTCGATCGGTGCGGACTGACTTGACTAGCCGGTCTTGTTGCCGCTCCACCATCGGCAACCAATCGATCTTCACCGTTTCATCCACGTCGCTCTTCTTGGACAGCACGTACACCCAAGTCATGCAGGTGTAGACATCCACTATGGTGAGGAAATACTATGCTCTAGCAGCTCCAAGCTTGAAGGGGCCCACCACGTTCATCACCACCTCATCAAGTGGTGCCTTAGCCGTTGCCCCCGAACTCGAGAACGGGAAACGAGTGAACTTGGCTTGCATGCATGTCGGGCAGCCAAGTACCTCATCGGGCTCCCCCTTCACACGTATGCCAGCAACCATCTGATTCTTCACTAGCTGCTGCAAGATGGGCAGAGCCACATGTCCCATTCTCCGATGCAAGGTGAGCCAATTACACTCCCCCGTAGCCGAAGTTGACTCTATCCGAGGTTCCACAACTGAGGGGAGATCTGCTGCCCGGGAGAATGTGACACCGTCGAATGTGACAGCGTCGAATGTGACAGTATCTGACGTGGCGGCATGGGATGTGACTGGGCCAAATGCGACTAAAACGAATGCCTTACCAGATGCGCCCCATGAGTCTGTGGAAGCAGCGCAAGCAGGAGGTGTGATTATAGCGAGGGAAAGCGAGGCGACTTGGGCTCAAACCCGTGCTGGAGGGAAGGAAGGCGAGGCGTCGAGAGGAAGAGAGGCAGAGAATGCCGCGCTCGCAATAGTGCCCCACATACTCTCACTGTAGTCCTCCTCCGCTGCTGCCTCGGGGTTATCCTCTCCCTTGTGCTGCTCCTAGGCTGCTGCAACATTCTCTTTAGGATCACCGAGCTTGTTGGTCACTCCAGGTTTGCTCTTCTTGAGCTCGCTCTCCTTGGCGCGATCGTTCGCACCATCGCCACTACCAACCGCTTCGCCCTTGGCGCTGATGCTTGCTGCCACTTGCCTCTCCTTGGACATGGAGACCACAGGGATCTGCCACATCTCGTTGTAGACGTCCATATCTTCGTGAAGGTCCCAAAGAATCCACTCGCCAAGCCTAGCGGTATAGGTCTTAGCACCCTTTGAGCTCGTGTCCATGCCGGCCTTTGCCAATCACCGCACGGAAATCAGGTTCGCCGCAAGGCTGGGCACCCAAAGCACGTTCTTGAGGCCCACCATCTTCCCATCAGCACCCTACACCCTTTCACCTCTGCTAGCTGCCCCAAAGCAGATGTGACATGCTTCACCGGTGACGGTTCAAGTTCGGTGAGCAAGTTCGCGCGAGGTGTCATGGTGTAGGTAGCGCCGCTATCGATCACCCAATAGTCCAAGGGATGTAGGGTCACCTTTCCCACAGCTGCTGGCTCCTCAAAGCCTTCATCCTTCTCTGGTCCAGCCGGTGCTTGCGTTGACACAAAGTAGAATTGACCCGGGTAACCATTGCCGCTCAGGTCCATCTCGTTATCTTCTTTCCGCATGTTTGCAGCTCCACTTCCGCGACCGCCACGGCCTCCACGGCCTATTCCTCTCCCTCCTCCTGCTCCTCGACCCTCCTGGCTTTGAGCAGGGGTCCAACCATCAGGGAGTTTGTAGCAGTCGTGCCACATGTGTCCGCTCTTGTGGCAAAAATGGCACTCGCCATCGAATCGGCCGCGACCGCGTCCATAGCTCTTGTCGTCGCTGCCGTAACCGCCACTCCCGCGGCCTTTATTGAAGTTGTTGCTGCCAAATCTGCCTCCCCTTCGTCCTCTTCCTCTTCAACGGCCGTAATTGCGATATGAGAGCGTCAAGTGCGGAACGAAAATATTAAGGGCGAAATGAGATGACGACGGCGGAACGCGAGTCAGAGAGGCGGAATGGTCCCGCATGACGGGCGGAAATATGTGTATACGGGTAGAATGGGAAGAAAAAGGGAGGAAAGGGAGGATGAAGGGCGGAATGAGAATAGGGAGCGCGAAACCGTCGTAGCAACGGCGGAATGAGAGTAGGAACGGCGGAATGAGAAAAGGGACGGCGAAAAAAGAGAAGGGCTTAGTGGAATGAGAGTAGGACCGGTGTAACTAGAGGGTGAACGGCAGAAAAAGACCTTGAACGGCTAGAACCAGTAGATGAACGGCGAAATGAGATGATGAATGGCGGATTATAGTAGGGATGTGTGGAAGGAGTGGATGAATGGCGGCATGGGAGAAGGGATGTGCAGTGTGAACTCGGAATGACGGGCGGAAAGGCGATAGAGGGCGGAATGACGGGCGGAAAGGCGATAGAGGGCGGAATGACGGGCGGAAAGGCGATAGAGGGCGGAATGACGGGCGGAAAGGCGATAGAGGGCGGAATGACGGGCGGAAAGGCGATAGAGGGCGGAATGACGGGCGGAAAAGCGATAGAGGGCGGAATGACGGGCGGAAAGGCGATAGAGGGCGGAATGACGGGCGGAAAGGCGATAGAGGGCGGAATGACGGGCGGAAAGGCGATAGAGGGCGGAATGACGGGCGGAAAGGCGATAGAGGGCGGAATGGGAGGGGGAGATGGTGGAAGAGGGCGGAATGACGGGTGAAATGGCGTCATAGTGCGGAATGGGAAGCGGAGTGGCGAGAGAGGGAGGTTTTGCTGGGCTGAAAGGCAGCCCTTGGAAGTAGGCGAGTCGGGATGACATGCGAGGGCAGAAAGGGAGGGGGAAAGGCGGTAGCGGGCGGAATGGGAGGCGGCATGGGAGGCGGACAGGCGGTAGAGGGCGGAATGGGGGGGTGGAATGGCGATAGAGGGCGGAATGGGAGGGGGAAAGGCGGTATAGACCAGAATGAGATGCAAAATGGCGGGTCCGGGAGGAATGAGATGGCTTTACATGTAAGGTTGGGCGAGGCGGAAAGGCATACTGAAATCGAGAACGAAAAACACGTTACGACAGAATGGGAGGCGGAAAGGCGGTAGATGGCGGAATGGGAGGAGGTTTTGTGAGGCGGCGCGAGAGGGGTATAGGGTAGGAGAAGACCACGGAACGAGCTGTTGTCCAATAACGGGGACGGACGTTGCGCTCATGTGGGAAGAGATATATTGCTGTAAGGGGAAAGGAGGAGTGGTGAGTGGGGGAATGGAGGTGGTGCTATAGGGGGAATGGAGGTGAGGAAAGGAACGGAGGTGAGGTGAGAAGGGGGGAGGGTTGTAAGGTCGGGGGGGAAAAGGAGGTGAGGTCAGAGGGGGGAGGGATGTCAGGACGGGGGGGGGGAGGGAGGTTATGCTATAGGGGGAAGGGAGGTGAGTTCAGTGGGGGAAGGGAGGTGAGGTCAGATGGGGAAGGGAGGTGAGGTCAGATGGGGAATGGAGGTAAGGTCAGAGGGGGAAGGGAGGTTATGCCATAAGGGGGAGGGAGGGTGGTTCCGTGGGGGAAGGGAGGTGATGTCAGAGGGGGGAGGGCTGTAAGGTCAGGGGGGGAAGGGACGTGAGGTCAGATGGGAAAGGGAGGTGGGGTCAGAGGGGGGATGGAGGTAACGTCAGAGGGGGGAGGGATGTGAGATCAGAGGGGGGAGGGATGTGAGGTCAGAGGCAGGAGGTAGGTAAGGTCAGAGGTGGGAGGGAGGCAAGGTCAGATTGGGGAGTGATGTGAGGCCAGAGGGGGGAATGGAAGGTGAGGGCAGAGGGTGGAGGGAGGTGAGGTCAGATGGGGGAGGGAGGTATGGTCAGTGGGTGGAGGGAGGTAAGGTCAGAGGGGGGAAGGAGGTAAGGTCAGAGGGGGGAGGGAGGTAAGGTCAGAGGGGGGAGGGAGGTGAGGTCAGTGGGGGGAAGGAGGTAAGGTCAGATGGGGAAGGGAGGTAAGGTCAGAGGGGGGAGGGAGGTGAGGTCAGTGGGGGGAAGGAGGTGAGGTCAGAGGGGGGAGGGAGGTAAGGTCAGAGGGGGGAGGGAGGTGAGGTCAGTGGGGGGAAGGAGGTGAGGTCAGAGGGGGGAGGGAGGTAAGGTCAGAGGGGGGAGGGAGGTAAGGTCAGAGGGGGGAAGGAGGTAAGGTCAGAGGGGGGAGGGAGGTGAGGACAGAGGGGGGAGGGAGGTGAGGTCAGTGGGGGGAAGGGAGGTAAGGTCAGATGGGGGAGGGAGGTGAGGTCAGAGGGGGGAGGGAGGTATACGTCAGTGTAGGGAAGGAGGTAAGGACAGATGGTGTAGGGAGGTAAAGTCAGATGGGGGAGGGAGGTAAGGTCAGTGGGGGAGGGAGGTAAGGTCAGTGGGGGGAAGGAGGTTAGGTCAGATGGGGGAGGGAGGTAAGGTCAGTGGGGGAGGGAGGTAAGGTCAGTGGGGGGAAGGAGGTTAGGTCAGATGGGGGAGGGAGGTAAGGTAGGATGGGGGAGGGTCGTAAGGTCAGATGGGGGAGGGAGGAGAGGTCAGATGGGGGAGGGAGGTAAGGTCAGTGGGGGGAAGGAGGTAAGGTCAGATGGGGGAGGGAGGTAAGGTCGAATGGGGGAGGGAGGTAAGGTCAGTGGGGGGAAGGAGGTTAGGTCAGATGGGGGAGGGAGGTAAGGTCAGATGGGGGAGGGAGGTGAGGTCGAATGGGGGAAGGAGGTTAGGTCAGTTGGGGGAGGGAGGTAAGGTAGGATGGGGGAGGGAGGTGAGGCCAGATGGGGGAGGGAGGTAAGGTCAGATGGGGGAGGGAGGTAAGGTCAGATGGGGGAGGGAGGTAAGGTCAGTGGGGGGAGAGAGGTAAGGTCAGATGGGGGAGAGAGGTTAGGTCAGATGGGGGAGGGAGGTGAGGTCAGATGGGGGAGGGAGGTAAGGTCAGTGGGGGGAAGGAGGTTAGGTCAGATGGGGGAGGGAGGTAAGGTAGGATGGGGGAGGGTCGTAAGGTCAGATGGGGGAGGGAGGAGAGGTCAGATGGGGGAGGGAGGTAAGGTCAGTGGGGGGAGAGAGGTAAGGTCAGTAGGACCTTACCCCCGTCCCCCAATCTCCCATCCCGCCATCCTCTTCGATCACCTCCCTTCCCCGCTCTCTTCCCAACATAACGCCCAGTCATACCTACCTCTGCCCCGTCCTATGTCCTCGTCTCCAGGTCCAAGGAAGATGTATCGGTGGGATTCTCGACGGCGTCGTCGGATCCGGCTGGGGTTCAGGATGGGAGTTGAAGGAGAGGAGGATGACGAGGAGGGTATGGAGGGACAGGCGGGATCAACCTCTTCCGTCCCATCCCGAACCGCAAGGAACAACAATGGTGTACCTGGTCGCTCGGTAGTTGCCAGCAGTTGGCGGCCCGTTGAAAGGGTGACCCGACGTAGGGTTGTACAGCCAACTGGGTTGCCGCCACAGCTTTTTTATCCTAAGGAACGTTGGTCCCTGTCTGAGTTTGCCATCGAATGTCCAAAGCAAAGCTCTGTGCTTGAACAGTGGGCCATAAACGAGCTCGGTCTGGGGCAGGAAAGTGGTGATACAGACGAGAGGGTTACTGTTGAGAGTGTCCTGCATATCTGTCTTGGAAAGAACACGCTGGAGGATGCAGATGGGCAACCAATAGTAGCAAAAAACCACCGTTTCCGTTGCTACGTCGAGTACTCCAAACTGTTAGGAGACCACCCGTTTGCACACGTTACATTGCCATGGCTTGTGTACGTAGTCATAGGGTCAATTTACCCAGAGCTTTCAGATGAAGGTTACGTGGGGTGTAGCCAGGCAGATGTAGACTGGTTCACGTCTTGGACAATCCCTAGTGAGATTGACTTCACCATGCGCAGCCCCCCGGTGGGCGCGGATGTAGCGAACATGGTCGAGACACAAGAGTCGCGTGTTGTGTGAATATGCATGTTGTAATCCTTGTGTGAGTAAATGCTAGCCATCACGTTTGCTAGTGTGTATGCCACTAAATTGTAGCAAAGTTTGCTCTTCGAAGGAGCAAAGAACATGTATCACTACATCATTACACCTAAACCAGTCAACCCATGCTTGATGTGATGCAGGGTACCACCATGGGGACACTTAGACATACGCAGCTCTCTGCAATTCTCTCCCCCTTGATAAGTAGCGCCGTGCGTCGCACTCTCCCCAAACACGTTTACTGTAGCAGCACGAAGCCACATGACAAAGTTGGTTCCACGCGTAATTAAAACTAGCTTAGCAACTGTTTTGCGTGGTTGTAACACTATAACCGTACATGGGTCCGTATTTCGCCAGCGCCCTCTCTCCTACCACACTTTCACCAACGCCGTTCTCTGCTCCCTCTGCTCAGTTGCCGCCAACGCTGCGAGAGGTGATGGCGGGGGGAAAGGGGGGAGATGGCGAAGGGGGAGGTGGGGTCAAAGAGTAGAGTTGGTCATAAGGAGTCCGGGAGGTGAGTATAGAGGGGGCTTGCTGCCGATGGGTCAGACATGAAAGGGTTGGTGGGTCAATTTGGAGGGGGGGGGCGGGGTGCTGCGTGAGGGCAAAGGGGGTTCTGGCAGGGAAGAAATATGTGGTGGCATAGGGGAAAGTATCGTGAGGTCAGATGGGGAAAGGAGGAGAGGTCAAAGGGGGAAAGACGATGGGAAAGAGAAAGGGCGAGATGTTAGCAAAGCGGAAAGGAGGAGAGTTCAGAGGGAGAAAGGAGGAGAGAGCAAACGGGGAAGATAGGTGCGTAGGGGGATGAGGTGGCATGGGGGGACGGCGTAGGAGATGGGTTTAGGGGAAAGGGAGGTGCTGAGATGAGGGGAAAGAGAGCACATGGCATGCGGTGCAGAGGGGAGGAGACGAATCGGGGGAAAGGGTGGAGATGGAAAGGACAGAGATGGAACGGGGAGAATGGAATTTCTGGCAGATGGTGGAAGGGGTGTGAAGGCATGGATGAAGGGTTCACACTGCACAGCAAATAGGATGAATTGAAAGAGGGGGAATGGAGGACAGGCCAGAGAGGGGAGGGAGGAGAGTTCAGCGGGGATGTGTGGTGAGTACAGCGTGGGGAGGGGAGGTGAGTTCATCGGGGGAGGGAAAAGGAGGTGAGGTCAGAGGAGGGAAAGTAGGGTGGTTCTACATATGGAGGGGAGGTGAGATCGGATAGAAAATGAATGTGAGGGAAGGGAGGGGATGAATGTGAGGGCAGAGGGAATGAATGTGAGGGAACGGAGGGAATGAATGTGAGGGAAGGTAGGCAACGAATGGCACGGCAGAGGGAATGAATGTGATGTAAGGAGGGAACGAAGGTGAGGACAGAGGGAATGAATGGGCGGGAAGGGAGGCAACGAATGGCACGGCAGAGGGAATGAATGTGATGTAAGGAGGGAACGAAGGTGAGGACAGAGGGAATGAATGGGCGGGAAGGGAAGGGAGGCAACGAATGGCACGGCAGAGGGAATGAATGTGATGTAAGAAGGGAACGAAGGTGAGGACAGAGGGAATGAATGGGCGGGAAGGGAGGGAATGAATGGGAGGGCAGAGGGTATGAATGTGAGGGAAGGGAGGGAATGAATGTGAGGGCTGAGGGAATGGAACTGAGGGCGGAGGGAATGAATGATGTGGCAGAGGGAATGAATGTGATTGAAGGGAGTGAAAGAATGCGAGGGCAGAGAGTATGAATGTGAGGGAAGGGTTTGAAAGAATGTGAGGGCAGAGGGACTGAATGAGAGGGCATAGAGGGAATGAATGGGTGGGACTTACTATTGGACACCATGCAGGCTCGGTGATCCCCGAGTAAATTTAGGGTCCAAGGTCATGCGTGAAGTCCATAAATCTGTAGTTGGAAAAGAAACGTTCTCAGAGCGATAAAAGAACTAGAGGTTAGCTTTGAACAATAGTAGTGTCATGCCAACAGCATGCCGTAGGTTCATACCGCGAGGGGATTTTGCGTTGCCTTTTGCATTGAGCCCACTCATCTCGTACATTCACTTCATGCTTGCGGTGGGTGGGACGTGACGCCTGAATTGGGGAAGGTATGATCACATAGCACAACGATCAGCAAACACCTTACCAAACAAAATGACATATATATGCAACCATATGAACCAAAACAGAACCGTACCGACTACACGCCCCAACACTGACCAAGCGGTAGCGTCCGCCTAACTCGGGAGGGGCGCGCGTTGCTGCGGGTACGACGTCGTGTACGTGCCCCCGTAATGGAATCATTATTGCTTGCAGGGCTCGTGAACACGAATGCATCGGATGTGGGGGTCAGCGGAGAAAATGGCGTGCGTGCCGGAGCGCAACTGCCGGCGCGGGGTGGCGTCGAGGGAAGTCGAATGGGAGTGGAGCTAATATGAGGCGCCTCGTTCTCATCTCCTTCGGATACTCCCAACCTCACTACAGCCTCCTCTGCCATCTCGGGGGCCCCCTCAACTTCTACCACGTCCTCTTCGCCCTCCCCCACCCCGTCATCAGCCTCGTCCTCCACCTCCTCCTCCCCATTCACGTCCCCTTCACCTTGCTCCTCGGATCCTATGCTCCCTGCTTTGCCCCCACACGCCCTGATCTTTCCCCATCGCTCCAAGACCTCATCCACCCAACGCCAATCCATCGGACCAAGCACCCGATCTTTCGTCCCACGCCGCACTCGTGTTACCTTGCGTACGCGTGTCCGCCACTCCCTAACAACCCTCTCCACCGCGTGATTCCAGTGCAGCACACTCAACGCCACCCGAGCCGGCATACTGCCAAGGAACGCTATACGTTTCGGCGCGTACTTCGTGATCAACGAGTGAAATGACTCGTTCATCCAGTTTGATGCACCTAACACATATGCTGCCATGGGACCTGGCCCACAATGGACGGACAACCACTCTTTGAACGCCTTGTGTGTCGCTGAACCCGGTTCATACAGCGCACTTTCCTCCCCCCAACCTTCCCTAACACAACGTGGGACCACACCATCACGCTGACAACCAGCGTGTATGCCCGCCCAATGGTCTCCGCACCCCCCAATCTCATCAGACACTTCTTGGGGAGTCATTGGATGACCTGCTTCTGCCTTTGTTGCAGCGCGCATCATGCAATGGTGGAAATGAATACAGAAGCGCTGACCAACAGTCACATCGGCCACTTCACCCTCCGTGTCCTCACTGCTACACCCCTCTTGAGCACATTTCCGCTTCCCAGTTTTCCTCTCCTGCCACCTTGGGGTACGACGTGAAGTGGCATTTTCCAACGGTCCAGGCTCCCCCGCCACGCCTTTCTCCCCCAACACTACTGGCTCCCCCGCCACTCCAGGCTCCCTCGCCACTCTAGGCTCCCCCTCTACTCCAGGCTCCTCCGATGAACCACACTCCCTAGTCTCTAGGGCCTCCCCCCCCACTCCAGGCTCGACCCCCACTCCATGCACCCCCCCCACTCCAGGCTCCTTCGCCACTCCAGGATCCCACGCCACTCCAGGCTCGACCCCCACTCCAGGCACCCCCCCCACTCCAGGCTCCTCCGCCACTCCAGGCTCCCTCGCCACTCTAGGCTCCCCCTCCACTCCAGGCTCCTCCGCCACTCCAGGCTCCCCCGCCACTCCAGGTCCCTCCGCCACTCCAGGCTCCCCCGCCAATCCAGGCTCCTCCGCCACTCCAGGCTGCCCCGCCACTCCAGGCTCCCCCGCCATTCCAAGCTCCTCCGCCACTCCAAGCTCCTCCGCCACTCCAGGCTCCTCTGATGATTCAGGCACCCCCGACACTCCAGGCTCCGCCGCCACTCCAGGCTTTCCCGCCACTACAGGCTCCCCCGCCTGCCGATCTCGCCCCATCTCTGGATCGCCTGACTCCACTTCGCCTGAATGTGTTCAAGAAAATGTGCAACACATTAGAGACAAAGTATTCATTCATCTGCGAAATGGAATTTGCAACTGTTGGAATGCAAACTCACCACGTGTCATCATCTCGATGTCCTTTAGGCTGAACATAGACTCCGCCGACTCTCTGATGAAATCGTGGGTGATGTCGTCCCGGGCGGCATGCGTGGGATGCGGATCAAAATCAAATGGTGTATCAACGTCGCCCCACTTGATCCCCAGAATCCGAGAGACCTCATCTGCTTCCCCACCCAAAGCACCGACATCATGGGGTGTTGAACCGACGTCACCGTTCTCTCCCCCCCCTCCACTATGCTCATGTTGCACTTCCATCCCCTCCTCTTGCTCCAAGCCCCTTCGTCGTTTGGCCGGTGGTTCAACCGGCTTCGCCCGGACCTTCAACACTTTCCTCATCTCCAAGAATGCCCATTTCTCAGCAGCCTTTGCCGATGCATCAAACTGAATCGTCCCCAATTTCGCACACACATGGTTGATCAGTGTTTTTTTAGCGGACCGCGAACTCACACCTTTCCCCACACCTCCCTTTAGCGTCAACCACTCCCACAACTCCTTCTGTGTGACCGACCACAACTCGGAACATGACTTGGCCTTATCCACTGTCATAGTACCCACTTGTGCCTCCACAAAGGCCTTCACAAACAGTCGTGTCAATGCTCGACCTTTGTGCCACACGTCCATTTGATGGTTGATACCCGTACCAACTAACGCCTTTTTGAATGACCCTCCATCGTCACTTATGATCCCGGTCACATTGAATCCCCACTCTTTCAATTTCGCCAAGCCAAGCTTGAATGCAACCCTTTCTAACTCTGTCGATGACTTTCCCTCTTCTTTTTTGCATACGGTGACAGTCAACAGCATCTTCCGTGACCGTGGATCCATGAAAGTGACAGTGCACCACTGCGCCTCCCTTGCCTGTGACCAACGCCCATCCACGCAAATGTACCCATCCCCCTCTTTGCGCAACTGCATGTCTGCACGGGCTCTAGCCATGCTCTCTTCCCCGTGGACGATGATAGCCTCCCACAAACCGTACGGCTGTCGCATGTAACGATAGAAGGTCTCTTTCCCGATAGACTTAAACCCAAGGGTCCGACTAACCTCCGACAGCTGCTGGAAGCCTATTCCCGCCATAACAAATGCCCCCAACCACCGCGGAAATAGTAAGGAGGTCTTTGGGCCCTGTTTGCCTACACCCCTGGTGACTTTGCCCCTTTCAGTAGACCAAAACTGTATAGACTTTCCACACGTATCACAGACCCACAAGACCCCCAACGTCGCCCACGCCATCTTACATGATCGCACGACCAACGAACCCTTACACGCGGTCGCCTGACAGCAGACCACTCCCAAACTCATGAAGAATTGTAGCAATACAATGGGGTCTAACAGACATACCGCCCCTTTGAGGCTAGTTGCAGCAGCGTTGGCCGACAGAGGCCATGATCGAGCGAGAGCCCTTCGGAGAGGTGCTCCTGCACGGCCCGCTGATAAGCTGTGGTGGGGTCGAATTGGAAATGCCATCACAATTTTGGAAAGTTTAGGGTAGAGGCCACAAACTCAGCTGGCTAGGGATGTTTATCAACGGATGATGTGTAGATTCGATGAGTGTTTATTGAATGGATGAAGTTGTTAGCATTATACCAAGTCAAGCTTGGGAAGCTTTTGAAGGAGGCCACACACCCATCGACTCTACATAGGCGCACTTACCCATCAGGTTGGGGCCGGATTGCAGGAGTAGATGCAGTTGCCCCATCGCTCGGGCGATCTGGCACGGATGCCCTTCCAGCACCTTCCCCCTCCTCTTGCCCATCATCAACGGGGCCATCCCCCTCTCCCAACTCTCTCCCCTCTTCCACATGCCCCTCATCATCCACCGGGGCAAACTCCGCCACAGCAGTCTCACATCCCACGGGTGGCGAATCCGTAACGGGTGATCCTCCGTTGCCACTCATATCATGATCTCCTCTTGCAACTGCAGTTTAATGACCATACGTGGCATATGGGTAAATGGGTATAAGGGCACGGGAAAATAATTGGATTTCGAAGTAATCCCCTACAAACAGGGGGTCATTGCGTGTTGTGAGACCCACAACATGGATAAGACCAGTCGCACGTCTTTCGACCAGTGCATATAGATGCAGGGTGACGTGCGACAAATTGAACAAAACAGAAAGCGCGACAGTATGCCAGCGAAACGTCTCAAGAAATGGTGTGTACAACACCCCGTGACATGGACATACCAGCATTGTTTAGTGCTTGATATGCCGGTCCGCGACGGTCACCTCTGTGGCCACGTCCATTATCCGGCTCAAGCACACCCTCCTTGTTGAGATGGTATGTATCGAACTCATAAACGAAGCCGTCCAATGACTTCGGCATCCTCTGGAGCAGATGCGCCTCGTCCGCCTTTTCCCCCGGTTGGCTCACGAGGAAGCTTGCTCGCTGTGCTTCCAATTGTAACTTTACCTGTTCTTTCACCATGTCGCCATTCCCACCTACCATAAACGGCGTGGTTTGGGCATGTTAGTGGGTTGTTTGCAAGTGTTAGCTGGTTTTGATCCATGCACAATTGTTCCAAGGTGCCACTTACAAGTATCAGTTGCTGCATTTATTAGCTTCACAACGACATCCCAGGCCGAAACCATGAGGACGTGCAGCACGTCGTTGAACGATGCCTCCCTCCCCATCAGTGCCGATAAACCGCAGCGCATAATGGTTACGGGCAGGACAGTGTGTTTCCCAAGCCCCACTGGCTTTTGCTTGACACCCCCCATAATGTTTTTGAGCTGCTGCTGCAAAGTCTCTCCCTTGTTCTTGGATCGCCTGCCATTACGATCACATGTCCATTACATATGCTGGTGTATGGCTTTTGTGCTACACGCAACCTCACACAACCCGTACCACTCACCTTGGTGCCATTACGACACGATGCGCAAATGTCCGTCAGTCGAAAGCCACCAGTCGGAATGGCGTTGTGGTGAAAGGCCTGATGGGATGGTGACGGGTTGCAGAGGCACAATAAAAGGACATGCGCGTTAGGTTGTGCCGTTACTCACGACAGATGTCACCGCCCCTAGAAGTACCCAGTCACCACCCAAATCCCACCTCGGACTATACACCCATAACCACCAATTTACCTCCTATCATGTCACCACTTTCCCCCCAGCCTAAACCTCCCTTCCCGCCTCGGTTCCCCCTCACCGGCCTTCCCCCCTCGGTCACCGCCTAACTCCTCCCGGCCAGCCACTCCCTTCCCCCTCTCACATCACCGCCCTTCCCCCTCTCACAGAACCTCCCTCACCCCTCTCACCTCACCTCCCTTCCCCCTCCCTAGGCACCTTTCTTCCCCCTCTCCCATCGTTGCATTCCCCCCAGTCAGAACCTCGCTTCCCCTCTCCGACACCGCCTATGTCTCGGAGGTCAGCACCCCCCTCCCCCATCTATCAGCACCTCTCGTTCCCCTCTATCGGCACATCGTTCCCCTCTATCAGCACCTCTAGTTCCCCTCTATCAGCACCTCTCGTTCCCCTCTATCAGCACCTCACTTACCCCTCTCTCAGCACCTCCACTCCGACACTCACTGCACTACCATCCCCCCTCTGTCCTCTCAACCTTCCCCCTGTCACTGTACCTCCCTTCTCCCTCTGTCCTCACCTCCCTTCCCACTATGACAGTACCTCGCTTCCCCCTCTCTAAGCACATCTCATCCCCATCTCACATCGTTGCACCGCCCCAGCCCGCATTTCACATCGTTGCATTGCCCCAGCCAGCACCACCCTTCCCACCCCCAGACCCCCCTCCCTAAGCACCTCTGTTCCCCTCTCACATCACCTCTTCCCCCCCTGCCAGCGTCACCACTAACCCTCTACCCCGCGTGCCTCAACTCCTTTCCTCTTTATTCGTGCACTTATCTTGCCCCTCTGACCGCACCGCACCCCCCTTCCAACTCACCCATCACCTCCTAACCCACTGCCCGCACCCTCTTTTCCCTCTCCACGCACCTTCATTCCCCCCTTTTGACCTCACCTTCCTTTTCCCCTCCCCTGTTTGCCTACATTCCCCATATGAAATCAAGTCCTTTCCCCCTCCCTATGCACTTAACTCTCCCCTCTCAAATCACCTCTTTCCCCCTCTGACAGCACCTCTTGCCCCCCTCCCAACACCTTCTCTCCCGTCTCTCAGCACCTCCCTTCCCCCCTCTGAACTCACCTTCATTTCCCCCTACCCTCACATCCCATCCCCCCTCTGACCTCACCACCCTTCCCCCTTCCTCACCTATCTTCCACCACTCACCTCCCCTCCCTCCACCCTCTCACCTCATGTCCCTCCCCCCTCCATCATCACGTATCTTCACCCTACCTGCTCACCTACCTCCCCTTCTGACAGCACCTCCCTCCCATAGGGAAAATTAGGGGTAACAAAGGGTGAAATGAGAGGGACTCCAGGGGAAAATGATGGGACACTAGGGGGGGGATGAGAGGGAGCAGTGGAAAATAAGAATGGGATATTATTCCCCCCAATGGGGGAATGGTTTGGGAGGAGCGGGAACGGGTCCAGGCGCGGGAAAGGGATAGGGGAGTGAGGAGGTGGGTACGGAGACAGGAAGGATGGAGAGCATTCGTGCGTATGCCTCACCACAAGTTCACACCCGGTGCTATCGCTAAGCACCTTCCCTCCCCCCTCTCACAGGACCTCTGTCCTCTCCTCCTTCCCCCTCTCAGTGCACCTTCTCCCCACCTCTGTCCTCTCCTCCCTTCCCCCTCTCACAGCTCCTACCTTCCCCCACCCACAGCATCTCCCTTCCCCCACCCACAGCATCTCCCTTCCCCCTCTCACAGCTCCTCCCTTCCCCCTCTCACAGCTCCTCCCTTCCCCCACCCACATCATCTCCCTTCCCCCTATCACAGCTCCTACCTTCCCCCACCCACAGCATCTCCCTTCCCCCACCCACAGCATCTCCCTTCCCCCTCTCACAGCTCCTCCCTTCCCCCTCTCACAGCTCCTCCCTTCCCCCACCCACATCATCTCCCTTCCCCCTATCACAGCTCCTCCCTTCCCCCTCTCACATCTCCTACCTTCCCCCACCCACAGCATCTCCCTTCCCCCTATCACAGCTCCTCCCTTCCCCCTATCACAGCTCCTCCCTTCCCCCTCTCACAGCTCATACCTTCCCCCACCCACAGCATCTCCCTTCCCCCTATCACAGCTCCTCCCTTCCCCCTCTCACAGCTCCTCCCTTCCCCCACCCACAGCATCTCCCTTCCCCCTCTCACAGCTCCTCCCTTCCCCCACCCACATCATCTCCCTTCCCCCTCTCACAGCTCCTACCTTCCCCCTCTCACAGCTCCTCCCTTCCCCCACCCACATCATCTCCCTTCCCCCTATCACAGCTCCTCCCTTCCCCCTCTCACATCTCCTACCTTCCCCCACCCACAGCATCTCCCTTCCCCCTATCACAGCTCCTCCCTTCCCCATCTCACAGCATCTCCCTTCCCCCACCCACAGCATCTCCCTTCCCCCTATCACAGCTCCTCCCTTCCCCCTCTCACAGCTCCTCCCTTCCCCCACCCACAGCATCTCCCTTCCCCCACCCACAGCATCTCCCTTCCCCCTATCACAGCTCCTCCCTTCCCCCACCCACAGCATCTCCCTTCCCCCTCTCACAGCTCCTCCCTTCCCCCACCCACATCATCTCCCTTCCCCCTCTCACAGCTCCTCCCTTCCCCCTCTCACAGCTCCTCCCTTCCCCCACCCACATCATCTCCCTTCCCCCTATCACAGCTCCTCCCTTCCCCCTCTCACATCTCCTACCTTCCCCCACCCACAGCATCTCCCTTCCCCCTATCACAGCTCCTCCCTTCCTCCTCTCACAGCTCCTCCCTTCCCCCACCCACAGCATCTCCCTTCCCCCACCCACAGCATCTCCCTTCCCCCTCTCACAGCTCCTCCCTTCCCCATCTCACAGCATCTCCCTTCCCCCACCCACAGCATCTCCCTTCCCCCTATCACAGCTCCTCCCTTCCCCCTCTCACAGCTCCTCCCTTCCCCCACCCACAGCATCTCCCTTCCCCCACCCACAGCTCCTCCCTTCCCCCTATCACAGCTCCTCCCTTCCCCCTCTCACAGCTCCTCCCTTCCCCCACCCACATCATCTCCCTTCCCCCTCTCACAGCTCCTACCTTCCCCCTCTCACAGCTCCTCCCTTCCCCCACCCACATCATCTCCCTTCCCCCTATCACAGCTCCTCCCTTCCCCCTCTCACAGCTCCTCCCTTCCCCCACCCACATCATCTCCCTTCCCCCTCTCACAGCTCCTCCCTTCCCCCTCTCACAGCTCCTACCTTCCCCCACCCACAGCATCTCCCTTCCCCCACCCACAGCATCTCCCTTCCCCCTATCACAGCTCCTACCTTCCCCCTCTCACAGCTCCTCCCTTCCCCCACCCACATCATCTCCCTTCCCCCTCTCACAGCTCCTACCTTCCCCCTCTCACAGCTCCTCCCTTCCCCCACCCACAGCATCTCCCTTCCCCCTCTCACAGCTCCTCCCTTCCCCCTCTCACAGCTCCTCCCTTCCCCCACCCACATCATCTCCCTTCCCCCTCTCACAGCTCCTCACTTCCCACACACAGCATCTCCATTCCCCATATCACAGCTCGTCCCTTCCCCCTCTCACAGCTCCTCCCTTCCCCCACCCACAGCAGCTCCCTTCCCCCTCTCGCACCTCCTACCTTCCCCCTCTCGCTGCTCGTTATCTCGTTCCATTGCACTCGTAACAGCTGGAAAACAAAACCCCATATTCTCCATTCCCTAATCCTCCGACTTCTTCCTTCCATCCTCACATTATTTATCACGCTACGAGCTAGGAGCTAGGAGCTAGTTGGTAGTGAGTTCTAGTCCCCGTAGTGAAGCGCCCGCGACACTATTTAACAAGCTCCCGTGAAGCGCCAGTGACAGACGCCAAGGGATTACTTGTGAGGTAAGACAGAACACTTTATGAAAATGCTCACCGTCGTGATGAAGGTAGGACGCGTGAATGAGTGAAACATGAGACCCGCGCCCGTGAGCAAGCGCTGGCGCCTAGTGCACTCGCCTAATTGGGCGCTGGCGCTTAAGCTGCTTGGCGCCTAGCGCGCCGTGGGCGCTGGCGCCGTTGTCGCGGCCGCCTAAGGCGCTGGCGCGGACCCCTTAGGCGCTGGCGCTGGCGCGTGCGCCTTAGGCGCGTTTGAGCCAAATACAACACACCCTAATGATCATTTCCGCCCGCAATCTCGTTCCCACGTAAAACCCGCACATTCGCAGTCACAATCTCCCAGAACCATTCAGAAAGTAAATTCTCCTGCTGTATTCCAAATCCGGAGAGCGTGCAGGTTTTTAATGCGCAGAGGGTGAGGGTGCGCGCGCCGCCATGGCGGACAGCATTTTGTTTGAAGACATATTCACGCTCACCGAGATGGACGTCGGCGGCAAGAAGTTCGACAAAGGTTCGTTCGCTCTCTCGCTTCTCGTCCTGCTCGCTCTCTCGCTTCTCGTCCTGCGGGTTGCGCGTCTCGTGCCCTCGCGCGAGAGGTGGGTGGTGGATAAGGGGGTGTTTAAGTGGGCGCCAGATAAGTGGCTCCTTCACTCGCCTCCCAGTCTCTTCATTTCCTTCTTCTCTGCTCCCTTCATTCCCCCACACCCCTAACTCTATCTTCCCCACGGGCACGCAGCGAGTTGACAATGCAGCTGTGCTTTGGAAAGCCACAAACCTCTTCTCGCCAGGACCTTACTTTCTTTCTCCCCCCATCCCCTCCCCTCCCGACCCCCCTCTCGCCCCCTCCCCCCC